TTTCAAACTACAAAATTGTGGCTTAATATAAATCAACATTCATTGTATCAGGAATCTGAAAAAGGAACATGGCATGTGCCCTTAGTGAGTGATCACAATGATGAGTCATTAAGAACATGGCTTTGCATTTCCCATTCAGACCTCTGTAAAACTTGTTCTGAAGAAACTTCCAATACACATGTTGGTATAACTGGTAAAAGAAAAAGAAAGATCTTCATCTCCTTAGAAACTTGGATTTTTTTTCACATTTTTGAATGTCTTTTTAACTAATTGTTTTTGTCCGATTTTGTTGTATTATCTGAGATGTAATGTATGCATAAACTAGGGATGAGAATTTGGTCCGAAAACCCGAACCGAACCGAATTAGACCCGGATAAGCAATTCGATTCGGTTTTCGGGTTATTCGGTCCGGGTTACCCGAATAAGGGCTTATTTGGGTCCAAAAGGACCGAACCGAATATGAAAAGTCACATTTTTTTTCCTAACACGATTTCTTATTCGGTCTTCTTTTCTATCGATTGTTACCCAACAAAACCCATGTAATACACCAAAAAAATCAACGAAATCGAATTCGATCATCCGTATTACACCAAATCGACAGTAGCGTATTACACCAAATCGACGAGTCGACGACATTACTCTTTGATCGATTGAGGTTTTTCTCATCCTTGCGACATTACTCTTTGATCGAAAGTTGCGGCTGCTGCCCTTGCGACTTGCGATAACCTGGACTCATTGATCGATCATCACTAGTTCAAAGTTCATACTTCAAAGTCCATTCACGATAAGAAAAAAAAGTCGGCCCTTGCGTCTGGAAAAAATAATCGTCTCCTCATCCTTGTTTTCTAGTTTCTAGTGTGATCAAACTCCATTCAAGTCATGGAAAAATTGGGTTCCAAATCAAGAAACTCAAGTAAGTATTTGTATCTTAATCTACTACTCAATCTTTCAATGTGTTATTATGTATGTTACTCATTGAAATTTGAATGTGTTAATCTATTACTCAATCTTTTAATTTGTTTCTTTAAAAGATTTGTTATGAAATCATAAGCTACAAAAGTCATACAAAATACAATATTTATAATCACATTCTAAATGTTATTTGGGTTATCCGGGTTATTCGGCTCCTTAATCATCTTGTACATGTTATTTGGGTTATTCGGGCCGGAACCGAACCGAACCGAATAATACCCGAACCGAACCAGTATTGCTTATTTGGTTCGGTTTTCGGTTCATACAATTACCCTTATTCGGTTTATTCGGGTTCGGGTCGGTTCGGTTCCGACCCGAATAACATCCCTAGCATAAACTATAAGCTTTATATGTTGCTTGTTGGCTTTTTGGTTTGTGGGTATGATATGGGGAACTGATAGCATGACAGCAGTGACGGAGGCTCATGGAGGCCAGGAGGAGTCATGGCCCCCCTGCTTTTTTGGTTTCTAATACCTTTAAATATGTTTATTTATTAATTCTAATCAATTCAATGACTAATTACCCTTCCAATTTTAAGTTTAGTAGCGTGGGTTGAAGATAGGAAATTACAACCAAAAGTCAAAAACTCACACACTGGATCAAAATTAACCTTCTTTCGTTAGGAAATTAAGTAAGAAAACTATATAAAAAACAAATATCTAATCTCTTTTACCATTTTTACATAATCTTAAGAAAGCAGTAAACCCTACAAACTTATTGCCGCCGCCGGAAAAGAAATTATCAAACTCACCAAAAGAGTAACACCGTCGCCGGACTAGCTCGTCTTCTTTGTGAACTCTTTGTCTCCTCTCCGCCGGTCGCCAATGTGATCTCCTCCATATACTCTCCCTCGTCTCCGAGCGGTCGCCAGAGTATTCAACACTAAACCTCGTCGTGTGCTCTGCCTATTGTAGCTTTCTCTAGTGTCTCCTCCGCCTAACTAAGCTAGTATGTAGTATATTCCCTCTCTTTTTCTCTTCCTTTCTCTCTATCATTATAAATGAAAAATATTATATATAGTCATCTAGTAGGTGATATGAAAAGACCAACCTAATAGATGATGATATGAAAAGACTAAACTAAACTGTAAATCTGCAAGACATTAAGCAAAAGATAGATATTACCTTTTCTTTATTTTGAAAAGTTTGATAACAATAAAAATATCACTTAAATGTATATTTATAATTTGAGAATGAGAGTGAAATAACTATTATGTATTTTACTTTATTAATACCAAATTCACAGGAAATTAATTATGCAGTGATTGTAGATTGATATTTTTGATTTTAGATGAATTTAATATTGTTTTTAAAATAAAAATTTATATGTTGGTTTTCATCCAGAGTATTCAATTTTTTATTTTTTTATTTTATTATTTTTTTTTGTTAAACTATATACGTTATTTGATATTTTATAAAATTTAAGTTAGTTGTTATCAAACTATACATGTTATTTGATATTTTATTTTGTTGTTTGTTAATTATTAGTTAACTTGATATTTTATTTTGTTGTTTGTTAATTATTAGTTAACTTTGCAAGGAAGTATTATACAACAACATCAAAAAACAATTATTGTTATGGGTTTCTAGGAAGAAAACCTCAAAAAACTACTCACAAATGTTTTGGTTGAAAATTTCACGATGTTCTTGAAAACTGATCTAAAAATATTCATCTTGAATTGTTGTAGTTTTGAATCAAATAAAATTTGTTTATGTAGTTATGTTTTGAAGCGTTTGATTTCGTCCCCCTACTTTTAATGTTCGTGTTCAGTTCTACTTGATTGGAATATATATCTATCTGAATACAAAAGTTATTTAAAAAAAAATTATGCTGTTATTTCAATTTAATTCCAATGGAAAAGCACGAGAAGATCTCAAAATGTGAGAAAGAAAGGAGTAGCATATTTTTGCAAGAATTTATTCTATCTAAATAAATTTATATTTCTTTTTGCAAAGAACTTTTTTTTTTTGTTGGAATAGGTTTTAAGTTTTAACTATGGGGTTCTAATTTTTTAAGATGAAAAAAAGCATAGTTTCGACTTCGGAATGGTTTTACGGATTTTAATTTATTTTATGAGAGAAACAAATCACATTGAAATCAGTAGGTTATTACCCAGCGTCAAATAATCGTTTTTTTTTAATTTATTTATTAAAAACTACCTAGTTTTTATGGTTTCCACACATAATGGTGGATGTATAATAACCCCATATTCAGTTCGCTCATACATATGATATATTATAGGTACCTCCGTGTGTAACCGATGCATGGCTAAGTTTGAATCTGAAGCTCTTATAAGAAGAAAGAGCTTATTTATGTTTGGTTGTATCCTTAGTATCTTCTCAACAAAAACTGCAGTATATAAACATAAATTAAAAACTATAACATATATGCTCCTGTGACTAAGATAGTTTTATTTTCAAGATACTCAATAATGCTTTCCGTTTCCATTAGATATCAGACGAAGAAAGCTTGTAAATAGCCTTTACAATTAACACATGTTATATAGGTCTAACGGTTGGTTGGTCTAATGAATAAATGAGCAATGAATTGCAGTTGGAAACAACTTGTTAAACAAACCAAATGTGGGATACTTAATTATGCTGGTTCAAAAGAAAGGTTATTATTGATATAATTGGCCTACACGACTAAACCAATTTAAAAAAGTCCAAAAGCTGTAATGGCCCAAGAAAGTAATAAGAAGTAAAATGCAAAAACCTACCATTAATAGAAAATTTAGCCTACTAATTACCAAGGGAGGAATTTCTGTTTCATTTACTTTCTTTTTCTACCGATAAAATTATAGTAGAATTGTAGGACACTAGGTGTAAAACCCGTGTATTACACGGGTTTATTAAAAAAAATAAAATATTAAAATATAAATAATAAGTATTTTTTAAAATAAAATTTTGAAATAAAAAATGAAGAAACATATATAATTGCAATTTAGTATAACATTTGATACTTTACATATATAACTATAAGTATTACGTGACTTTTTTAATTTTAAAAATTAGAAAAAATCATAAATTGACATGTAAATATTATTTATTTAAAAATTATCACAAAATGACAAGTGTCAAAACTCATTAAAGATTGACATGTGGCAAATTATCTTAATTTATTATAGTAGAAGAAAATTGATGGTAGCACAAAAAACTAGGTTTATATATTCTAAGTATCTTTATAGTGTGGGCCAATCAATTTAAAATCATGGATAAAAGTAATTTTGTCATTTGAATTAAAGGTAAAATAAATTCCATAATTAATCTCTTATAATCATCGTGCCATCCTCCTGTCTCTTTAAAACAGTCAACAACATCGTATTTTCCCATTCGAAATCCCTAACCCTCCTGCGATCGGAAAAAAGAGGGCCAATTCTGGCAGTGATACTGTTGCCCACGAACGTTTGCTCCATTCCAATATTCCTCTTATTTTTCTTTTATATGAATAATCCTCAGTGAAAACCGAGATAACGAATTGGATACTATATAGCGTCGCGTTTTTCCACATCCTGCTTTTCTATTTCCATTTCGTTCAAATAATTGGAAATCAAAGGTAATTTTTTTTTCCGAATTGACGGCTTACCTATGTGTTCATCGTGTCTTGCACAGATTGTGATGCGAAACTGTGGTGGTGTTAGGGCGTCCGGTGGTCGAATATGATAAACGCTAGTCGCACATCAAACTCTTATACCCAAAGCCTTCATTCCCGGTGACCAAGGAATACAGCCACAATTTTGCTAGAATAAAGCCAAAGCCAAGGATAGGGCTCAACGATGATCTGCAGGGGTTTAATTGGAGTTATGGGTGGTTTCATATAGACCAACATCTGGTGGTATCTTTCCTACGATGATGATTTTACAATCTAGGGCTTTCTTTTGTCTTAGGAAATCAACCTGAATTGGGTATTTTTCGATTCTATATATCATTTACTACTGATTACCAGATTATTGAATTTTATTGAAACCATGGTATGTATATTCCCCCTCTCTTATCTCCCTCTTTAGTTAAAGCAACGAGGATTCCTCAATGGATGTTTCAGTGAGAATCCAATCCTCAATTTCAATAAAACTGATTATATTTCACCTAATTTTAGATTATTGGTCATTTCTTCCTTCATTTTCGTCCTTCCTGCAGGTCGGTTCCATTATTCAAAATTTGATCTTGTTATCTTTGGTTGGTTTTATTCCTTGCCTATGTCAACTAGCTTGGATATAAGTATTCATATCTTTTTCCTATTCATGGGTTTTTGCAGGAAAGATTCTACTTTGATGATAATGTGTTACCAAGTTTTCAGAGTGGGATTCCTTTGCTTAAAAGTAGGCTTCAACAGCTCCCTAATTCTGAAAATGTAATGCTCTTTTCTTGGCAATCAATTTGTTATATTTACTACAACCCTGAGACTGAGTATTTCTCTTTTATGAAAAAAAAAATAGATATCAATTGTTTTCTAGATGACGTGCTTGGAAAATGTTTCATAAGCAATTGCAACATTTCCTTGTGGTATGTGAAATAAGTTATTTATTTTTATTTATTTTTTATTTCTTTTTCATTGTTGGTTGATATTGTTGTATGTGGCAGATTATTCGTGTCCTTTGATAGTGAAGGAAGTAAAGAACAAAGCTCCATTGGAAGTTATTATTTAAAGATGATATGGACAAATGGATTATTCGAGTTTATCAAGGAAAAGAAGGACCCCAATTTGTTCTTATCTTAATGTACTCTCTCTTTTTTCAATTGTAGTAACTTTTTATGGTTTTCTTTTTCTGTAATAGGCAATTGCAAGATCCATGTCTCAAGTTATGGATGAACATGTCTATTCTGTCAGTTGGTATTTGTCTATTCTGTCAGAATGTCTGTTATAAATGTATTCCATTAGAATGTGTTTATATGTATATAAATAATTCGTTAGTTCTAATCTTCTTATTACAAACAAATTGGTTCATTTGTTCAGGATTCTTAAAGAAGATCAAGTGACGTGGAAATTTTCTATTATGGTTGGAATAAAATGAGCTTGCAAAAATAATTTTTCTAAAGTGTATTTTGGATTCGAAAAGAAGATCAAACGCATTTTGGATTCTGGAATAGGATCAAGTGTATTCTGGATTCCGATAGAAGATGAAGTCGTTACAAGAAGGAGATGATGATTCTTACAACAACTTCAAGAATGTTCTGGTGATAATCAACAATTTTAGAATAAATGTAATTTATATTCATAGTTGTATTCGTTAAAAATAAATGTAATTAATGATTTTAGTAATATTGATAATATCATAATAAAATGTTTTTTTTCAATATAACCATAATCACATTCTGTTAAAATGTCCGAATTATAAAATTATTATAAAAAAATGTTAGATTTTTAAAGTTAAGAGAATTAGTTATTCCATAAAATCTGCAATTTTCCTATTTTAAATTTATGATAATTGATTAAAATACCCTTATCATGAAATTAGATGTTATTTTTCAATTATCTTTAATTCAATAATATGTATTAAGCATTTTCTTAAAATAACTAAAATTGTTGGTCCACAATTAATCCTACATCTACATAATAGATAGTTAGAATATAATAACCTAAGCTTATATTTATATATATATATATATATATATATATATATATATATATATATATATATATATATATATATATATATATTCTTTATTTTAATTTTTTGCAATTTAACCATTAGAATCGGCTATCATTTACAACTTGGCTCAATTAGTAGTTTACCGCAAAAAATAGCATGGTTCGATGGTTAAATTGTAAATAAAGTGTCAAGAGTGTTTTTTTTTTGTCAATAGAGCAAAATATAAGTAATTTTTTTTTCAATGCATAATAATCTTTAATCTCAAGTCTTATCTATTTTAAGATTAAATTACAATCTATTTTTGTTGAAACAACCATTACAATTTGTTTATTTTTAATATATGATAATAAATAAATATAATTATTTAATTATACTTCTATTTAATAAAATATAAAAGTTGATTAAAATGTAAAAATATATTGTTATGCAATGTATCGTTAGTTTTTGATATTAAAACTAAATCAAAATTTGATACGAATAATATTCAAATGCCAAGTTGTAACACTCATAAAATAACGTCCCAAAAATTTCATTTTAAATCATTAAATAGACGGTAGTTATCAAAACATTCCATCAAAAGCGTGAATCATATATTCATAAGAATAAAAATCAGAGTATCCATATCAAAAACATATGTAAATATATCAGAGTAAACATCCCAAGCTAAAACATCATGGCGTGCAATGCAGTCATCCCGAACTCTTCCCTTTGCTACCGGAAGTACCTGAAACCAAAACTGAAAAATGTAAGCACGAAGCTTAGTGAGCTCCCCAAACTACCACATACCATAAACCTAATCACATATAAACATATCATGGGCCCCGCCCCTTCATCGGGCCCCACCAGGCATCAGACAATGTCCGGCATCGGGCCCCGCCCAACATCAGACAATGTCCGGCATCGGGTCCCGCCCGGCATCGAGCTGAGCTCGGCATGCATATAAACATATCTCAATACACATAAAATATCACATAACATAACATATAAACATTCATCCGGCACCGCCCGACATCAGACCGAAATCCGGAAAACATATAAACATTCCTCGAGCATCGCCCGACATCGGACCGAAATTCGGAAACATACAAATTACAGACACATGCAAGAATCACAAAGACATGAAGCATACAAACATTCCTCGGGCATCGCCCGACATCAGATCGTAATCCGGAAAACATATAAACATACATCGGGCACCGCCCGACATCGGACCTCGGTTCGGAACATACTAACATACATATACGGGCCGACATTGGTGCCTTCGACCCGTTCCTACAGGAGGAAATTCACCTCGATCCGCTGAAATTTGATAACACTCGGCTACCGAACCGGAAATCCCACACTAACAACAAATAAATCTCAATTAGTAATTATGCCATAATCCATAACCGCGGCCTCAACTCATAAGTCCCGACTCCTAGGGTAGAAGACCATTTTACCCTTTCCTTAATGGGTCCAACCCAACTTGGCCCAAGGCGCACTAATGGCCCAACAACCCAACTCGAGGCCCAAACCAAACCTAAGGTCCACTCAAAGTCCTGAGGCCCAACCAGAGCCCAAACAGATAATTTATAGCCCAAAGAAACAAGCCCGAACGCCAACACAGGTCCATGACCAAAAGCGCAAAAAGCCCTCTGATGAACCGAACGCGTTGCGTTTCCTAGTGGAGCGCAGGGCGTTCGTTGCCGGACCACCGATCGGGACCCTTTGCCTGAACGCTCCGCGTTCCCGAGATGAAATCACGACATTCCCGGTCATTATCCAAAAAATATCCCAAACGTCTTAATACCTTAAGTCCAACGTTCAAGTCCTCAAAATAGCTTCATATCGGTGACTTAGTCCATAAAGTTGTCAACTTGGAACTTTTGCATGGTCCAAAAGGACCCAATCATGATTTCAAGCCTTCTAACTCCATAAAGAGGCCAAGATGCAAGCTTTTACCTTAATACCTTAGTCCAAACTTCCAGATCTGATTCAAAGGGACTTCTCAAGTCATAAAGTTTCCAACTTTATGACTTAGCATAACTCAATGGGACCCAAATCAAAACCCTAAGTCCCAAACTTCATCAAATAACTACCAAATCATGCATGGAAGATCTACACCCATCAAGATCCAAGCTTTATGACTCCATAACCTCAACAAGGACCAAATATGAAGCTCAAAGGTTCTGGAGTAACTTCTACTCACAAGAACCACCTCAAAGGGACCAAAACCATAACCAAAAACCAACTAGCTATATCTACATGAAAGAGTTGTCAAGGTTGAAACTTTATACCTCCAAAAGATAAATCTAGGTGCACAAAGCTTGGATTCAAAAGCTGCTCTAATTTAAATCATTTAGTACATAACAGAAAATTAGGCATCTTATCCTAATGTAAGCTAGAGCTTGTGCCAAATTAGGTATACAACCTAAAAGAAAATGGACACACACCTCATGATCATTTCTTAACATTCTGTGTTTAAGTCTAGAAATCCTCCACATTCGTAGTTCGCTTAAAATAATGCTCTGATAACAACTGTGACATCCCCATTTTCATGTCCCAAAAACACATTTTCTTTATGCTTATTTAAAACAAAGTATTTGTAACGACCCAAAAATCATGACTAAAAATTTCGTTTTAAAAACATTACTTAAACCACAATTGTCAATTCCTAACACAAATCATAACATAAAATCATAATGTGAATTCAAACATAATCTTCTTATCAGAGTAAAACATCCCAGGCTGACTAGTTATGGTGTGTGCCATGCGATCATCCCGAGCTCTACTCTCCGCTACCGGAAATACGTGAAACCAAAACTGAAAACTGTAAGCACGAAGGTTAGTGAGCTCCCCCAAACTACCACATACCATACAATAACATATAAAGCACATATTGGGCCTTGCCCACTGCATCGGACCGAAGCCCGGACTAACTGGGGCCTTGCCCCCTGCATCGGACCGAATCCGGACTAACTGGGGCCTTGCCCCCTGCATCGGACCGAAATCCGGACTAACTGGGGCCTTGCCCCCTACATCGGACCGAAGTCCGGACTAACTGGGGCCTTGCCCCCTGCATCGGACCGAAATCAGGACTAACTGGGGCCTTGCCCCCTGCATCGGACCGAAGTCCGGACTAACTGGGGCCTTGCCCCCTGCATCGGACCGAAGTCCGGACTAATTGAACATAGCATAACATAATCATAGCTACTAGCATAAACACATATACTGCATACTGCATCGGACCGAGGTCCGGACTAACTAACACATAAACATGCCTGAATCATAAAGACATCAAGCATACTGTACTACTGCATCGGACCAAAGTCCGGAACTACTGCTATCTAAACGGGCCGACATTGTGGCCGTAGACCCGTTCCTACTGGAAGGAAACTCACCTGTACTGCTGAACTCTGCTGATAATCCTATGGCTGCTAATCGACTATTCTCTAAAGCGCTGCTCTCCTAGCTCACCGGGCTACCAACACCAAATAATTGAACTTAGCCTAAGCTGTCATCCAGAGGTCAACTAAGTCAACTCTGGTCAAGGTCCTGGTCAAAGTCAACCTTCCAGTTGACTCGACTCGCCGAGTTGTTCTACCAACTCGCCGAGTCCATGCTCCTCAAATCCCAAAACAACCCCGAATCCACTCGTCGAGTCTAGCGAGAACTCGACGAGTTCCCCTTCATCTAACACTTCAGGACTATCTTCAACCGACTCGCCGAGTTGTTCTACAACTCGCCGAGTCCATCTTCATCAGCTAAGAAGATTGCCTTGGACTCGCCGAGTTCCTCCTTGAACTCATCGAATACCATGATATTCATGTCCATCACGAACACAGACTGGCTGAGTCCTTTTCTAACCCCACTCACTGATCCGACTCGTAAACGGAAGGGTTTGGGTTTTACGACCCGACTCGCCGAGTCCATGAACTGACTCGCCGAGTCCTCCTTGTGACAACTCTATTCTGTCTCTTTCAGCCTATTCCAACACTTCCAACTCATAGATCTAGACTCCTTATGCTAGCATTGCACGTAAAGTTGCCGACTTTACGTACATGCAAGGGGTTATGGGGCTAGAACACCAAATCCAAGCTATAATGGAGGTCTAAGCCATGAAAGGAAACCACAGCTGAGAAAAGCTTCTTCCTCAGAGCTCCTAAGGCTCAAAGATACTCCGATCCAGTCTCTATTCGTCCTCAAAGGCTCAATACTCGGGTTGGCCTTGGGAATGGTCCCAAAAGTCTCATAAAAGGGACATGAAGAGATCTAAGAAACCATAGATCAAGGTAAGAGCTTGATTACCAGAAAGTGATGAAGAAGAGGGACTCCTTCTGGATCTACAATCACTCTTTAGCTCTTCCAACTCATTCTTCTTCTTCTAGACTTCAAATCACTCAAGAACACACAATAATAGCTCACACTTTCATGGAGGGCACTAGGGTTTCGCTCTGGACAGTGGGGGCTGTAAATGAAACCCTAGAAATGGGAATGAGATGCTTAAATAGGGTGCCAAGTCCCGAAATTAGGGTTTCCCAACCCAGACCAGACTCGTCGAGTCAGTCTCCCAGACTCACCGAGTCGGTCACTTACTCCGCGACACGGGTCACGCTCCGACTCGTCGAGTTCCTCCTTGGACTCGACGAGTTGACTCCTTTGACTTAGAGG